GTGGTATCACATTATCAGACTTCAAACTTTACTATAAAGCTACAATCATCAAAACAGCTTGGTATTGGTATAGGAACAGGCATATAGATCAATGAAATAGAATTGAGATTCCAGAGGCAAAACCTCAATTTCTCAACCAACTCATCTTCGACAAAGCCTCCACCACTTACCACTGGGGAGAGGAGAACCTATTCAGTAAATGGTGCTGGGAAAACTGGCTGACCACATGCAGAAGATTGAAACAGGACCCCTATCTATCCCCATGCACAAAGGTTAATTCCAAATGGATCAGAGACCTAAATATAAAACCTCAAACCATAAGAACCTTAGAAAATGAAGGAAATACCCTCATGGAAATCGGAACTGGCATCCAATTCCTGAACAAAAGCCAAAACCCACAGCTCATAAGAGAGAAAATAGACAAGTGGGACCTTATTAAACTGACAAGTTTCTGCAAAGCCGAAGAGACCATCAAGAGAGCAGGGAGACAGCCTACAGACTGGGAAAAAATATTTGCCAACACCAGTTCAAACAAAGGCTTAACATCCTGGATCTACAAGGAACTCAAACGTGCTGAAAAGAAAAAAACAAACAACCCCATTATAAAATGGGCAAAAGATATGAACAGATACTTCACAAAGGAAGACATCCGAGCAGCCAACAAACACATGAAGAAATGTTCAACCTCACTAATCATCAGGGAGATGCAAATCAAAATCACCCTGAGATACCACATAACTCCAGTCAGAATGGCAATTATCAACAAGTCAAAAAATAACAGCTGCTGGAGAGGATGTGGTGAAAAGGGAACACTTCTACACTGTTGGTGGGAGTGTAAACTAGTGCAACCTCTGTGGAAAGCAGTGTGGCGATTCCTAAAAGCTCTAAATACCAACCTCCCATATGACCCCGCAATCCTCCTACTGGGAATATATCCTGAAGAACACAAATCACTCTATAAAAAAGATACCTGCACACGCATGTTTATCGCAGCATTGTTCACAATAGCAAGAACCTGGAAACAGTCATGCTGCCTGTCAAAAGAGGACTGGATTTTAAAAATGTGGTACATATACACGATGGAATACTACGCAGCCATAAAAAAGAACAAAATCATGAATTTCGCAGCAACCTGGATGGGACTAGAGTCTATAATACTGAGTGACCTCTCACAGAAACAAAGATCCGAGTATCACATGTTCTCACTCATATAATGGACCTTAAACATCCAATGCAATACCATACGAAAATGACTGACAGTACTGGGAAACTATGGTGGGGGGAGGGAGATGGGATTAACAGTAGCAAATATCTGTCTGGGAACGGGGAAACACCCCATATCAACAGGGTGCCTGAATGAAATGCAATTGTATACCTAGCCCTTAACTGTACCCCACAACTTCATAATAAAAAATAAACAAATAATTTTAAAAAACACAAAAAAACCTCCTTATAGTTGAAAATAGAAATGGTCTCAATTTTCTTTATGCTTTCTTAAGACACAGCTATGAGCAATGTGATTCATGTTTTTTACCAATTTGGAGAATGAATCATTGATTCACAAATTTTCTTTGTCATCAATACATGAATGCATGTTATTAATTTATTTAAAATAAATGTTTAGTAATTAGGCATTAATTGTATTACATGATTTAATTATTGCAATAGATTGCAACAGAGAGAAAAATCTCTTTTATCAAGTCTGAATTACAAACTACCCTATTAATCAATGTTATTGTACAAGCAACTCTCAAATATTAACAAAATATTTACACATTTTATATATTATAGAAGTCAGAAAGCTTCTTGGTTCTTTCAGCTACTTGCCTTTTGGTAGCACTGACAGTTGATTAGCAACATTATAGGAGCAGAGTATTTCAAAGCAATCTTAGTATTCACCAGCAAATAAATGCTAGTTATTACTGATTTAGCTAAAACATAAAATAAGATCTTGATGAAGAATGATTGGAAATCTTGACCTAAGCCTTGAAAATAAGATTTAAGGATTATGTATGATTTTCATACATCAATTCTTATCATGTATCTATGCTTCCTTTGATTTCCATTAAGAAAATTAAATGGTCTGAAGTTTCAAGTTCTTTACAATTCTATTTTCTACTTGTTTCGTATATATTCCTTTAAAAATAGTATTATAATGAGTTTCTTTCAATGTTGACCTGACTGTGGTCTAGAAAGATATTTCTCATACATGTAACAATAAGCATTTATCACATTAGAATGATTTTAGGAATTCTATGATACTATAGCATAATATTACATGTCATACCCAGTGATGTTCTTGCAGGGACTGCATCTTTATTTATCCAAAAAGACACCCAAGAAAGAACAACTGTCAGAATGCATGGAATGTAGGTCTGAATAGTGAAATATCCCATTCGTCTGCTCAGATCAAAAAAAATTGTCATGATGACATAATCCCCTGGAAGAAAAGATATGCTTTATTTTAGCTATAAAATATATATAGCACAGATCCCAAGTGATAGATTTAATACAAATGTCATGTAATGCTAGAATTGCTCACTGATTAGAGTTTTCTCCTTACCAGAGATTGTGTGAGAGATTTCAGTTGAGTTCCGTAACCCCACAAATGCAAACTGATATAATCTCCAGTATTTAGGATCAGCCACTTCCACAGAGGGCTTTTTCCACTTATATTCAATTTCATTTTTAGGGTATCCATCTAGAGAAAAATTAAAGTAAAACATATAAATTAGCAAGATCAGAACCCGATACCCCTGCAATAACTAACATTAGGCAAAGATGAACACTTAAAACTTCCTTTTTTCTATTATAAGATATATGCCAAATACAGAAAATCTGCATAAAATATAAATGTGAGTTTATTTATTTATTTATTGAGTTGGAGTCTCACTCTGTCACCCAGACTGGAGTGCAGTGGCCACTCCCGGCCACCGCAGCCTCGACCGGCTGGGCTCCTGCGATCCTTCCGCCTCAGCCTTCCAAGTAGCTGGTAAATGTGAGTTTAAAGAATAATCATATACTGATCAAACAGAAATAAATCATGTAATCCACTTCAATCAAGAAATAGAACCTTGCTAGCATCTAGAAGAGTCCTTGTGTTTATCCCAATACAGTACTAGCCTTGAAATCTAGAGGTAACAACAATCCTGATCTCTGTGATAATCCTTCCCTTGTTTTATTGTTATAGATTTGTTAATATGAATCTCTGGAAACTATAGCTTAGTTTGGGATGTTTTTGAATTTTGCTTAATTGTTGTCATACTTAATACATTATTTAACATCTTCTAATTTATTGTAGCTAAATTGTTGAGTTGTAAACATGCACAAAATGTATCCACTTTACTATTATAGTCACTTGTAATGTTTCCTATTAGCTATTACTACCATTGCTGCTAGCAACATTATTGTACATGCCTCCTACACAAGGGTTTCTGTAGAATATACAGGTATGGAATAACTGGGCCATGGCTCACATATAATTTCAACTTTCTGAGGTAGTGCTAATCTTTGTTCTGTGAATAGTATACCAACATAGTTGCTCATTATCCACAATATGAAAGTTCACATGAATTCATATCCTCAGTAATCCTGATAATGATTCTTCATTTTTACTGATTCATGAAGTGTATTCTATTTCACATTTTCCCGAATACTAATAAAACCTAGCATTTAAAAATATGCTTATTCCACATCTTTGCAATTGTGACTTGTGCTGTGATTAACATGCAGGTGCAGGTGACTTTGTTATATAACATCCTCTGTTCCTTAGAGTAGATACCTAGTAGTGGGACTGCTGGATCAAATGGTATATCTACTTTTTGTTCTTTGCGTAATCTCCTTACTGCTTTCCATGCCCATCAACCAATCAGTGAATAATAATGAAAATGTGGTATGCATACACCATGGAATATTACACAACCATAAAAAAGAGTGAAAGTAGGTCCTTTGCAATAACATGGATGGAACTGGAGAATATCATCTTAAGTAAACTGACTCAGAAACAGAAAGTCAAACATCACATGTTCTCACCACATGTTCTAAATGATCACAAGGTGAAAATAATAGACACTGGGGACATTAATAAAGGGAGAGGGAGGGGAGGAGTTGGGATTCAGAAACTACCTATGGGGCACATTTTTCACTATCTGGGGAATGGGTCACCTGAGATCCAATCCCCACCACGATACAATATATCCATGTAATGAATACGCATGTGTACCCCCGAATCTAAAATTTAAAAAATTTTAAATATATTTATATACTATTGAATTTCTTATTTGGAGAACTGCTCCCTCAATTGCTCATTATTTTATTGTTTTTTATCTATTTTTCTGTCTTTTGTAAAAATTATTTGTGTATTCTGAATACTAGTCCTTTGTTAGTTGTGTTGAAAATATTTTTGTCATTGCAATGTTCACAAATATTTACAGCCACTAGACTTATTAAGTATGAGTACAACTGC